CAGGAAACTACGGCCGCAACTCGGCAGCACGGGGGCGTCGCAGCGTGCCCCCGCCGCCGCCGCGCTGCCCCCCGGGCACGGCGGCGGCGGCAGCAAGCTTGGGCCCAAACGCCGTGCCGCCGAGTCCCGTGGCTGCGACCGTAGACCGTGGGCCGGAAACTGCGGCCGCAGCTCGGCGGCACGTGGTTCTGTTCAAATCGCCAAGCGTGCAGCAGCGCCGAACCACGCTTCCCGGCCTCGGCGCATGCCTTCAGGGGCCCCCTATCGCTGGGCACACCCCTCCAACACCGAACATGCGCCCGGGGGGGAGGGCGGCCCGGGCTGCCCAGGCCAAAGTGGGCCGCCCTCGAGCAAGAGGCGGCCGGTCTGTGTGCTGAATGAATGAATGGATGCGTACTACGCCTTCCTAAGATCATGGTCAAGGCGGAGATGAGGTGCTACTGATGCTCAGCGCGTCACTGCCACACACACTGGCAGCGTGCCCGCTCACCTCCCTCTTGTCCCCCGACGTTCCTTGCCCCAGAACGAGATCACCCTGGATGACGCACGGCAGCTAACGGACAGAGGCTGCAAGTACGTCGTTGAAGGCAAGTTCCATGCGTTATTTGTGCCAGCCCGCCAACTCTTTGGCAGCTGGCTATAACCGAGAACTACTAGCCCGCTGCAGGTGCCAACATGCCCACCACCGCTGCTGCCGTGTCCCACTTTGAGCAGCACGGGGTCGTCTTTGGCCCAGCCAAGGCCGCCAATGCAGGAGGCGTGGCAGTGTCAGGGCTGGAGATGGTGCAGAACAGGGTCGGGCTGCAGTGGACGCGGGAGGAGGTGCGCCATGCATGCATGGCTGCCTCTGCTGCATCATGCAGCGCAGCGCCGCTCGACAAGCCGGCTCACTGTGTGTGCGTTCAGGTGTGTGAGAAGTTGAAGGAGATCATGACCAAGATCTACACCACCATCAAGGGCGCGGCAGAGGAGTATGGCACCACGCTGGCCGCAGGTCGGCATGCCGGAGCTGCCACCTGGCCCACCTGCAGCCTGCCAGCCATGAACGACACAGCATGCTGCCTTCGATGGCTCCCCATGCTGCAGGTGCCAACATCGCCGCCTTCACCAAAGTGGCCGAGGTGGTGCTGGCGCAGGGCGGGGTGTGATGGGGTGTGATGCGTGCGCAGGCATGCTGCATGCTGGTGTGTCACCGCTGCTGACATTGCGCCATGCTGCATAACTTCAGTTAATGTCAACTCGAAGCAGCATGCGTGTGGCTGCTCGACTTGTGCGTAGTGGGCTGTAAAAATGTTGATAGAATGTACACTGAGCAGGGAGCACAGCAGGACCAGCAAGGCGCTGCCAAAATTGCGTCAAAGTGAGCACGCCCAGAGATCACAGCCATGATGTCACAGCCTGCTTTGCATGCCGCCGGCCACCACTAGTGTCTCGCCGGTGATGTAGGAACTATCATCTGACGCCAAAAACGCCACCGCCGCCGCCATATCCTGCGGCGCGCCCAGGCGCCCCAGCAGCGTGCGGCTCTTGTTTAGCTCCTCCATCTCTGGGTTGGCCACCAGCGCCGAGGCAAACTGCATCAGGAGAGCGGCAAAAGAAAAGTGGAGGAGTCAGCGGCATGGGTGGCTGTTTGCGGTGTCAGCGATGGGCCGCTTGTGGCTGCTGGGCTCCCAGGTGGCTGGCTGGCCCAGCGTGATTCGCTGGAGGCATTCCCTTGCTTGCCTTGGTGGGCACGATGCCAGGCGCCAGGCAGTTGACCCGTATTCCATCGGGGCCCAGCTCCTCAGCCAGCGCCTTGGTGAGCCCCAGCAGGGCCGTCTTGGACACAGCATACCTGCACACGCACCAGGGCGGCACAGGGTAGGCATGCATGGCTCCTACCAGGCCCATCGACACCACGCACATGGCACGCCGCCAGTCAGCATGCAACCAGCCCGGTGGATGATCAGCTCACATGGCGATGGGGGGCGCCGGGCTGAACGCCGTGTAGCTGCTGACAAAGACGATGGCGCCGCCGCGCGGCATGTGCGGCACCGCAGCCTTGGCCAGCAGCACTGCGCTCTTCACGTTGATGTCCAGAATCTTTTCTATGGCCGAGTCCTGCGGTGGAAGGCATGTCAGCAGCACGCCTGCAGTTAGGCAAGGGGGCACTCCAAGCCAGCAGCCCCTGCGGGAGGTGTTTGCCGGTGCTGCACTGCATGGTGGCCCGAACTGGCAGGCACAGGCATGCAGGTGGAGAGGAGGGCAGTGCAGCCTGCAGCGCAGCCCACCTCCATGGTGAGGATGGGACCTGCGGCGGGGTTGACTGCGGCATTGGACACCAGGATATCCAGCCTGCCGTATGCGTCGAGGGCAAACTGGACCAGCTTCTGCGGCAGGAATGGTGGGCATGCGAGCCATGTCTGGGTGTTGCAAGAGGTGCCAACAGGCCAACAGCGGGCCAGGAGCGAGGCTGCCTGGTGCCTGCCTGCCCCAGTCATTCCCTCTGCATTCTTTGCTCATGGCAGGTGACGCCTGCTGTGGGCCAACCTTCGATCCCATGGGCCACCGCACCTGCAGCTGTGCCTTGTCGCCCACGTGGCATGCTGTGCCCGCCACCTCCAGACCCTCAGCCCTCAGCTGCTGCACCGTCTCCTCCACATTCTGCTGCTTGCGTGACGACACCACCACCCGGGCTCCCTGCAGCCATGGGACAGAGCATGGTGGGAACGTGGCAGCCGGCTCATGGGGCCAGCGCGGCGACCTGCTGCCTGCGCACCTCAGATGCCAGGCGCCGCACGATGCCCAGCCCGATGCCCGCTGTGGAGGCGGTAACGACGGCCACCTTGCCCTCCAGCCTCCTGCACGCGCATAGGCAGGCAGGGCACCAGCATGAAGCCTGGTCATTGTGGGAGGTGGGTGGGTAGCAGCGGGTGGCGGGACGTGCGCGAGGGATGCTGCCGCACCCTGGTCTTGCTGGCGGCGCACCATCCGCGACCTGCACACCAGCAAGGGTTGCCCAGCACCCTCTGCTGGCTTCCCTTGCCCACCTGCACTTGCCCGACATGCCGCCGCGCCTCACACACAACCTGTTGCGTTTGATACTCCCTAAATGAGACACACAGCTCAGAAGGCCCGTGATCTGGGTTCTGCGCACGGTTTCGTGATCTCGCTCATGAGACAGCGGGGCGCGCAGCAGGCAGCAGGACCTGCAGGCGGGACCCGGAAGCCACCGATGCCCTGGACGCGGGTGGTTATCGCTGAGGTAGGCTTGGACGGGCTGGGAGCCCTCGATCGCCAGCTGCCGCAGGATGAGCGAAGAGTTTAGCGAGGAGACTCTGGCCAAGGCACGCACCGCGAAGATCTACATAGAGCACCTTTACAAGGTGCAGCGCCAGAATGTCAGGGAGCGGCAAGACAGGTGAGCCGCTGCGCCCCCGTGCCGCCCCCAGCGGCGCCTTCGGTTGCCGCCAACCACCACACCGCCTGCCTAGTACACATGCAGTCTGTGCAATCGCCACTGGCCGGTCTACAGCAGCAGAAGGGTGCTTTGGTGCCCTAATCGCGCCGCTGCTGCACCAACCTATGGCTCCCGCCGCCTATATGCGGTTGTTCCCGACCGTGCCGCACACAAGCTCCCCGCCAACCTCCCCTGCAGGCGCGCCAAGCTGGAGCAGGAGCTGCAGTCGTACTCGCTGAGCGAGGAGCAGCGTGCGGCGGCGCTGGCGGAGCACGAGAAGCGGGAGCGCGAGTACAGCCGGCTGCAGCGGCAGCGGCTGTGCATGGACGACTTTGAGCCGCTGCGGCTGATCGGCAAGGGCGCGTTTGGGGAGGTGCGCATCTGCCGAGACCGCTCCACGGGCAAGCTGGTGGCGGTGAAGAAGCTGAAGAAGGCGGAGATGGTGCGGCGCGGGCAGGTGAGCATGGCAGGCGGGCAGGGGTGGCAGGCAGGGGGGCACAGACACACCCCAGGCGGACGCCGCGGCTGCCAGCTGGCAGGCACCCTTGTTCTGCTTCTGTTGATGCTCTCTGCCCTCGCATCTGTGTTCTTCATTTGCTTCCAGTGCTGCCACTGTGCAGTGCACCACGGCTTGGTGCAGTGTCCTTGACCGCACCACGGCCCCTCCCTCGCGCTGCCTGCCCCGCAGGTGGACCACGTGCGTGCAGAGCGCAACGTGCTGGCCGAGGTGCAGCACCACTCCATCGTCAAGCTCTACTACTCGTTCCAGGACGAGGAGTTCCTGTACCTGGTGAGGCGGGTGGGCGGCATTTGGCGGCGGTGGTGGCAGGTTGGTGCGATGCCCTGCGGTCCAGGGGTGGCAGGGCCTTGCGGCATTGCAGCATGCAACGCACATGAGTAGGGGCAGGCACAGCGCTGTGCAGCACCTGCTCGATCACCACCACACACACTTGCAACCTGCCGTGCCCTGGGTGCCAGGTGATGGAGTACCTACCTGGCGGCGACATGATGACGCTGCTCATACGCAAGGAGATCCTTCCGGAGCACTGGGCACGCTTCTACCTGGCGCAGGTGCGGCGTCACGCAGGCGCAGCTGCATGGGGGCTGGGCGGCAGCTGCACCTCGGCAGCAGGATGAAGCGGTTGCAGGCTTGCGGACGGCACACGCTGTGCTGGAGTCTGCCAAGCACCATCCTGCTCTCCCCCCCTCCTCCCTTCCCACCTCCTCGCCCGCAGACCGTGATTGCGCTGGAGGCGATCCACGCGGGCGGCTACATCCACCGCGACATCAAGCCAGACAACCTGCTGCTGGATGTGGGGGGCCACATGAAGCTGTCGGACTTTGGGCTGTGCAAGCCCGTGGATGTGTCCACCCTGCCCGCCTTTGCCGCCGCAGTCAGCGCGGCGGCGGGCGCCGCGGCGGGGCTGCCGCCCTCCCCCAGCCCGCGGTCGCAGGGCGAGCAGCTGCGGCACTGGCAGGTGCGCGGGCTAGGCTGGCCTCCCGTCTGCCATGCTGCAACGACTGGGTACCGGCCCGCTGGCCGCCACTGCCTCCACCACGCTGCTCTCACCTGCCAGCAGCCCCCACCGCGCTGCCCTGGCCTCCTCTACGCCCCCAACTGCCGTGCAGGAGAATCGGCGCAAGCTGGCGTTCTCCACAGTGGGCACGCCCGACTACATCGCACCAGAGGCGAGTGGTCAGCTCGGCTGCTGCCAGCTGGCGCCAGCTGGCCCCAGCCATGCTCGCCAGGACTGCCTGTGGGCGCTGTCGTCCCGGCTGGTGGCCATGTGCATGCCCTAAGTCACGCGTCGCCGCCTCACTTGCCCACCCTCACCCCACCTCAACCCACCGCACGCCGCCTTCCTCGCTTTCGCCGCAGGTTCTGATGAAGAAGGGGTACGGCATGGAGTGCGACTGGTGGAGCGTGGGCGCCATTGCCTACGAAATGATGGTCGGCTTCCCGCCCTTCTACTCGGGTGGGTGGCCGGGGACGGGGGGTGTGGCGGCGGGACCGATGTGCGGCAGGCCTGTGGCCGGGTGCCGGGCACATAGCTCAAAGTAACGCAGTCCCAGCTGGCATCGCTGGCTGATGTGTTGTGGCAGCCGCCCATCCCCTGCCGCCCGCGCCCTCCCGCCTCCCGCCTCCCCTGCAGACGACCCCATGACCACGTGCCGCAAGATTGTCAACTGGCGCACCTACCTGCGCTTCCCTCCCGAGGCCGAGGCGGCGCTGACCCCCGCCGCCCGCGACCTCATCTCCCGCCTGCTGTGCGACGTGGAGGAGCGGCTGGGCAGCCACGGCGGCGCGGCGGAGATACGCGCGCACCCCTTCTTTGCGGGCATCGACTGGCAGCGCCTGTACGAGGTTAAGCCGCCCTACCGCCCTGCCGTGGAGCACGAGCTGGACACTCAGGTGGGTGGGTGGGGTGGCAGCTGTGTGTAAGCTGAGGGTGCATGGTGGTGGTTGTGGTGGTGCAGGAGGATCTGTTGTCTTGCGCCCCCCACACACCTGTTGCCGTGCCGCGCCGCCCGCCCTCCCGGCTTGGTCTTGCCTGCCCCGCCTTTCCTCCCGTCATCAGAACTTCGAGCAGTACGAGGACGAGGGCGGCTCGGGCCTGACCCCCGGCGGCTCCCGCTCCCGCCCCATCGCCGACCCCAACTTCATCGGGTACACCTACAAGAACTGGGACGTGGTGCACAGCGCGCAGGGTGGGTGCACTCGGAGGGAGGGGGCCGGTAGGGTAGGGAGTGGGTGGGGCAGTGGAGCCAGGCTGGGTGGGAGGGTTGGGTGCCTAGCCGTGCGGTGCGGCATGGATGCGTGCTGGCTGCGCTGCGGGGGGTCCCACCGCCCTGCCTGCGTGTTGCTCCTCGGTTCCTTTGATTGCAGCAAAGCAGCGGGTCAAGGAGCAGCGAGACAGGCTGGCACGGCCCAGCATCAACGAGCTGGCGGCGGCCTTTGAGGAGCATGCTAACATCTAGCCCCCACCGCCCTCTCCTGATCTGTTTTATTTTTTTGTTGCATCAATCCAGACCAGCAGCTTTTCTTTCTCTTCTTGGCAAGTAACCGCCCCCCCCTTCCCATCCCGCTCCTTCACTCTGTTTCTGCCTGCTTGTTGCGCGATTCCCCCTCACGCTGGCGTTTGCATGCCTGACCGACTGTCAACAGCTGTCAACTGAGCGTTCAGTCCAGCTCACGGAGCAAGGGTGCCCCCCATACTGCGCTCACGCCAGCGCGTGCAGCACAACGCCCAGCAGCACGTCGGGCGCCGCGGGCAGCGGCTCCTGCCGGAAGTAGGGGCTCTGCAGCGCCTGCTCCGCGCTCAGCCGGTGGTCTGGGTTGTACTGCAGCAGCCCCGCCACCAGCTGCACCGCGTCGGGGGGCGCCCCAGGCAGCGCCGCGCCCAGGTCCCGAGCCGCCTGCTCTTGGAAGATCAGCTTGCCCCAGTCGGGCAGTTCCCGCACGCCTACAATGGGGTTGCGTGTGGTGGGTGGGGGTGGGTGGGGACGGTTCGGGCAGCATTGCCTAGATCGGGGCAACCACAGCAAGCAGCTTCCCCGCCTGGCCTGGGCTTGTGTCCTTCACCCCACCCTTGCCCACTGATCTCCCTTCTCAACTGCCCACCCACCCACCCTGCCCACCTGGCCACCGCTCCTCGCTGATGCTGCCCAGCTGGTCGCTCATCAGCGCCAGCTGCGCAATGTCGCTGCTGCCCGGGAACAGCGGGCGCCCCGCCAGCAGCTCTGCCAGGATGCAGCCCGCGCCCCACAGGTCCACCCCAGGCCCGTAGCTCCGCGAGTTGAACAGCAGCTCCGGCGCCTTGTACCAGCGAGTGCACAGCGCGGCGCCAGGAGTCAGGCCGCCCGCCACCTCCTCCTCATCCGACGCAGGCTCGCCGGCGACCCCGTTGGAGGACGCGCCCGGCAGGTGCCTCGCCTGCCCAAAGTCTGCCAGCTTGACGGCGCCTGAGGACGCGACGAGGATGTTGGAGGGGGCGACGTCGCGGTGCAGAAAGCCGGCGGCGTGGCAGGCCGCCAGCGCCTGCAGCAGCTGCTGCGCCACCGCCTTGGCCACCGCCGCGTCCAGCGCCGTGCCCCGCAGCCGCGCCAGCAGCACCCGCAGGTCGGTCAGGCAGTGCTCCAGCACCAGCGCCACAGAGAAGCCCTGCAGGTGAGGGGGGGGGGGGGGCAGGCGCGGGGTGGTGCTGGCGGGAGGGATAGGAGCAGGAGGCCGGTGCGGTGGCACAGTTCCCACTGGATGCACCCCACCAAGTGCAGGCCCTGCCCACCTGCTGCTTCACCCCCAGCAGCGACACCACCGAGGGGTGCTGCACCGCGCGCAGCAGGCGCAGCTCTCGACGCACATGCGTCGGCAGCACCCCCTCCTCCTGCAGGAACATGTGCTTGAGGGCCACCAGCCCGCCTGTGGCACGGTGCCTGGCACGGTGCACCTGCACCGGCAGCAGGGGCCGTGAGGTGCGCACGGTGGCAAGCGTGGCAAGGCTGGGCCTGGCACGGCACGGCCTAAACATACGCCGTGCCCACCTCTGAAAAGGTGCCGTGACCCACTTCATCCTCCACCTCGTACTCGTCAGTGCCAGGCACGTCAAATAGAGCCATGCCGATCCTCGCTTGATGCACAGAGAGAGGAGCAAGTCCTGCGGGGAGGGCGGGAGCGTGGGTGCCGCCGCCGTTCACTGCCGGTGGCCCGGCAGCCCGGCCAGCGCGCCCCTGGCATTATTTATTTTGATTGCATGACATGTCTGGCCATCACGCAGCAGCACAGCAGTCCCAGGAGCCCAAGAGGCAGAGGCGCGTGGGCCGGCCATTGGTTTGGTGCCCACTTGCCTGTCTGCTAGCTCTCCACTCGATGCACAGGCAGCGTGATTGGCGGGAAGGCAAGAAGCGCTTCTTAGGCCAACTCGTACCGCAGCTGGAGGAGCCTGAATCCTGCCCTGCCCTCGTCTCCTCTGTTTCCTGTAATGCGGCTACCATTGTTGGTGCTTGCCCTGCTCGCTTTCGGCGGTGGCCAGGTAATCTGCGGTGGCCAGGGAATCTGGTGCCCGCTAGCGTGCTGCAGAGGTTTCGAGGAGGCAGCCTGATGTGCGATGGTGCACACCTTTCCCGCGTGTGCAGGCGGTGGCAGATGTGGATGGCGGCGGCGGCGGCAGGGCCCGGGGCGCCGCCGCGGGCCTACGCGCCGCGGCCCCCCTGCAGCGCCTGCAGCGCCTGGTGCAGCAGGCGCGGCATGGCGCCGTGGACAGCAACATGACGGCCTCGATGGTGCGACTGGCGAAGGAGGTGGTCAAGGGCGTGGTGAACCACGCGCGGAACAAGCAGCCGGCGCCCGGCGTGGCCGCCAACATGCTCGAGTCGCTGGGCCGCGCGGCGGCGGCGGCGGCGCCCCTCCGCGTGCCCCGCGGCCAGCTGCTGGTGGAGCGCTCCAAGCTTCTCAACGCCATGGGGCGTACAGAGGCGGCGCTGGCAGCCACCGAGGAAGCGGTGGAGGTGTTCGGCGCTGAGCTGGCAGCGTGGGCGGCTGGCCCCGAGGCCGGCACGCCCGTCAATGGGACCGGCAGCGAGGCGCGCCACCAGGCCGCTGCCGCGCTGGGCAGCCTGCTGGACGTGGCGGCGCTGTGGCGCCAGCTGGGGCGCGAGGAGCGCGCCAATGGCGTGCTGGCAGAGGCGGCGCGCGTGGCGCCGCTCATCCCCTCCACGCCCAACTACCTGCGCGCCATGGCACAGCTGTCGCAGCTCACAGGTGGGAGGGGCAGCTGGTGGTGGTGGCCGATGGCGTGTGTGTATTTTCGTGTGTGTGTGTGTGTTGCGGAGGTTGAGAGGCACTGTGGGCGCTGCCCTCGCCCAGCTCCTGCGCACCCGCCTGGCCCCTCAACCTCCCGACCCGCAGATGAGCAGCTGGAAAGCGCGCTGAGCTGCATGGCGGCTGTGGAGCGGCAGACAGGGCCAGCAGCGGCGGGCTGCTCCTGGATGAAGCTGAAGGAAGCTGCGGACAACGAGACGGCGGCGGGCAACGAGATGGTGGCCGACCTGCATCGCCTCTATTATGCAGCACACAGGGGCCTTCACAGCCGCAAGTGAGGCTTGGTGGGGGGCGACAAGGCAGTCAGCAGCCAGCCACTTGAGCAGGCAGGCAGCATGGCTCGGAGCACATGCACCGCTGCGCTGCGTTGGGTGTGTGTGCTCCCGTCTGGCTGCTGACGCGGAGGGCGGCCGGCCCCTGCTGCCCCCGCAGGCGGTATGCCGAGTCGTGGCGGGCGCTGGCACGGGCTAAGGAGCTGCACTATTCCAAGCACACCTATGTGCACCGCGACTTTGAGCAGATGGTGGACGATATGGTGCAGCTGTTCCCCTCGCCACACAAGTTTGTGACGGCGGTAGCGGAGGAGGCGGCGGCCAGCCCACCCCCTGCCCCGCGCAGCGCGATGCATGTGCAGAGCCTGATTGCCAGCAGCAGCGCGCGGCTGCAGCGCCTGGTGGCCCGCCTGTCGCGGTGGCGGCGGCACCCAGACGCAGCGGCGCCCAGCGGCGGCAGCCAGCAAGCCCAGCCAGAGGCGGCGGCTGAGGATGAGGCGCCGGCTGAGGATGGCGGAGGCTCCAGTGCCGTTCCGGGTACTGGCGACGGCAGCAGCAGCACAAGTGGCAGCGGCAGCAGCAGCACCGGGCTTGCGACCAGCAGTGCTGGGGCCAGCGGGAGCGGCGAGATGATTCCCATCTTTGTGATGGGCATGCCGCGCAGCGGCAGCACCCTGGCAGAGCAAATCCTGGCCAGGTGCGTGTCGTGGGGAGGAGAGGGAGCAGAGGTTTGTGAACGTGTGTTTGGGGTGCCATCTCTGGGGACCGCACACGCTAGCTATGGCCGCATCAGCCTGCAGCGAGTAGCCCGAGCTATGGGGCACTGCGTTGTTCCACCGCGCGTGCCGACCGCGGCTCTTCACCTTGCCTCATCTTCCGCCTACGCTGTGCAGCCATCCTGATGTCTATGGTGCTGGGGAGCACAGCAGCCTGCGCACGGTGACGGGCACGCTGCAGGAGCTGATAGGCGAGTCAGGGGGTCAGCACCGAGTCTGGCAACAGCCAAAGGGATCCAGTGCAGCCGACAGGAGCTCTGCCTGCGGCCCAACCGCGCGCTCCTGCGCTCCCTTCCACCCACATGTTTCTCCTTCTCTTTCTCCGTGCCGCAGCCGGCAACGGCACCGTGACCCCCACCCAGCTGACCCAGATGCGCCGCCGCTACCTTGCCGCCATGCGCTTCAAGATACCTGTGGAGCACCGTGGCGCCAAGTGGCTGGTGGACAAGGCGCTGAGCAACGCCTGGCTGGTGGGACACATCGCTCTGATGATGCCGCAGGTGGGCGGCAGGCAGCAGGGCAGGGCGGCGATGGTTCGGGGATGCAGGCTGGGGCATGCAGGCCACTCATCCAGGAGCCTGCAATACACAGCGCTGGCTAGGCTGACCTCGCCGGCTGCCGCATCATTTGCATTGCGTTTGCCAAGCATGTGCGGGCCCCGTGCCGGCTGTGGTGCAGGCCTGCCTGGTGCATGCGGTGCGGCACCCCGCCGATGCCTCCCTGTCCGCCTTCCAGCAGAGCTTCTTCCCCGAGAAGGTGTCCTGGTCCTTCAACCTTACAAGTGAGGCGTGCGCAGCTGGGCTGGGGCCGAGGGCCCAGGTGGAGAGCGGTAGATTGGCAGCGGTCAATTTGCTGGTGTCTGCTCCTGCAACACTGCTGGCCTGGACTGCCCACCCGCCTCCCATCCCAAGTGCTGATGCCTGGCTCCCTTGCGGGCTGCCAATGCCCGCAGACATTGCGGCGCACGTCAAGGCGCACCACCGGCTGATGGCGCACTGGGACCGAGTGCTGCCGGGCAGGGTGCTGCACCTCCACTATGCTGACATGGTTCGGGATCAGGTGGGTGGGTGGCTGCATGGTGGGGGTGGTGGTGGTGGTGGTTTGTGGTGGGAGGGAGCACCCGGATTGCAGCTGGCCTAGCGAGAGCTGCCGTAAGTGTTCAAGAGGAGGCGCGACCGCTTCGTTGCACCACACCATGCCGCCGCATGCAGGAGGGCACCACGCGGCGGTTGGTGGAGCACTGCGGGCTGCCCTGGGACCCCGCCTTCCTGCGCTTCTACGAGACCGAGCGCTCCGTGCAGACCGCCAGCCAGCTGCAGGTGCTCCCTGCGCCCTCTCATGCCCCTGCCCCTGCGTATGCGCTGTGCACAGCAGCCAACTAACATGTGTGTCGGTCGCTGCTGGTGTAGGTCAAGAAGCCAATCTACAGCAGCTCGCTGAACAAGTGGCCGGCCTACAAGGAGGGGCTGGCCCCACTGCTGGTAGAGGCACGTTGCTTACGGCTGGCCATTGGAATGTGCTGATTCCCAGGGCTCCATCGCCCGCCCGCCAGCGCGCCACTCACCGACTCCTGCCGCCCTTGCATCTCCCTGCTGCAGCTGCGGGACACCATCCTCACTTACGAGCAGATAGTGGGGCTACCCTCCTCCCAGGACCTGCTTGATGAGGTGCAGACGCAGCTGACAGCGCTGCAGCAGCAGCAGAAAGAGCAGGAGGAAGAGACGGCAGCGACGGCCATCCAGCAGCGGCTGCACCAGCCAGGGAGCAAGGGGGAGCAGCAGCAAGTAACGGATGGTGGCATTAAGGAGCAGTCATCGGTGCAAGAAGAGCAGGATAGTACTGCCACAGCGGTGGCTGAGGCGGAGACTGAGGTAGTGAAAGCAGAAGACGGCGAGGCAGCGACAGCCGCTGGAGCTGATGCAGATGAGGCACCAGAGCCCGAGGAACGGGAGGAGCTGTGACCCAAACAAATCGACACAACTTTTGGTTCACAGCCAATTTTGTCCAATCAGCACTGCACTACATTCTGGCCTTACATCTTACAGCATACAGTTTTGTTGCTATTTTTACAAAAGCCCCTCGTAAACCTAGGGGAGTGCAAAAATGTAAGGCCTCAACTTTCGTTCATTTCATTGGAGTAGCGTTGGATTGTGAGAGGAGGAGGCAAGCCGGTGCGTAATCAGCGTTGATGGGCATTCGTGTTGGCGGCACAGAGCCAAAGGAGCAGGAGATGGGGTATCTTCACCCAGCAAAGCAGAGGGCAGGAAAGGGGCGAGTGGAAAACAACAACGAGGAGGAAGCAGAGGCGTCACCATCAGCTGTCCGCGCTGCCCTCAACGGCGCCGACTTCTCAACGCGCGGCGAATGTTCCAGCTCAGCGGGAAATGCTGGGAACCCGCCTGCGTGTGCCCCCCCATCTGCTCCAATGCCTGCAGCTCCTGCTCCCCGGCTGAGGCTTCGTCTGAGCTGCTTTCGGCAACAAGCGATGCTGCAGAATCCAAGCCTTCCAGCCCTTCCATGCTGCAGGCGAAGGGCCGGTTGAAAGGAGGGGTGAGAGCAAATAGGCATGGAACCGTGGCAGCGCATGGAGCTGGTGGCCGCAGCCAGTATCTGGCCGCAACCAAATGTCTGCAAGCCCGCCCGCCAGCTCCGAACAGGCGAGTCACCTGTCCTCCGTCTCCTCCATCCCGCTGGCGTCTGCCTCCTCCATGTCGCCATACTCTGCCTTCGTCGTCACAACTCCTTCCTCCTGGTTTGAAACCAGCATGGTCTGCAACATCCCGCCGTATCCGCGCACCTCGCTGGCGGCGGCAACCACCAGCGCCAACAGCAGCAGGCGGCCAGCGCTCTGGCGATGCCCTGTCAACATCTTCTCCAGGCCTGCACAAGGCGGCAGCAAGGGCAGTGTGGTGAGGCGCACAGTGTGCGTGGCGAGGAGGGGAGGCAGCTGTGCTGCAAGCACCCTCGAGGAGGGGATGGCTGCGTCTCCACCTGTGGCGGCGGTGTGTCCTTTCCCCTGTCGGCGAACTCGGATGAAGGCTCAGTCCCAAAGCCACGAGCTCCCGAGTGTCCTTTCCCCTGTCGGCGAACTCGGATGAAGGCTCAGTCCCAAAGCCACGAGCTCCCGAGTAGGCTGTAGTAGACGGCAGGCCCTCTAGAGAGGCAGGTGGGTCGCTGGAAGCAGGGCAGAGGAAGTGCAGAGTCTGCACATGCAGTAATAATGCCCAGCAAAGAGACACCCATCCTTCCCCCGTTTCGTCCAGTACTGCAGATGATCCCTGGGAACGGTGCCGGCCACAGGAGGCGCCTAGAGGAGCTTGACAGGCGGCCAGTTGCGGCCTTGCGCCCTGCCATGAGGGCGCGCCAAGGAGTGGCGGGCTGGCGGCAGTAGTGGCGGCGGGCACGTCGCGCAGTATGCGTCGCGACTGTCTTGTCACGACTGATCAGGCCAGCTCGGCTGACCTTCCCCTTGTCCTTTCTCACCCTTACTAAACCCTGAAAGAACATTTGATGTCAATATTTACACAGAAACCCCTAAACCTATCAATGGAAGCAAGGCCAAAGAGTCGTTATCGTGACATGATGACAAGTCAGAGTGTGAACGGGAAGGTGTACAGAAATCCCAGAACGCATGGTACGGCTCCGGTCGGTTGCCGGCTTCACTCAGCCAGCTGGCAGTCCTCCACGCTGCCATCCGCCTCCTCCCAATCAGAGTCGCTGGCGTGGCCCGCCGCGATGCGCTCCGCCGCGCGCCTGGCGGCCTCCTGCCTCTCCAGGTCCGCCGCTTGCCCAGGGCTGGCGGGCGCCTTGCCCTTGTCTGTCGACACGGGTGCGGCAGCCTCCACCACTGCCTCCGCCAGCTCAGACGGAGTGGCAGTGGGAGAAGCGGGGCTGGCGGGCATCGCCTCCTCGCGCTGCTCCTCCACCTGCTGCTCCTCGCGAGCGTCCGTCCCAGCCGCATCCTCGATGGGCACGGTGTGCGGCGCCCGCTGCTCCTGCTCGTGGCGCGGCGCATGGCCAACAGGCACAGTGCGCAGCTGCTGCTCTGGCTGCTGCTGCGCCTGCTCCTCCGGCCCCTCAACGGGCACGGTGCGCACCTCCTGCCGCCCGGCAGCGGCGCCACTGCCGCAGCGGCGGGCCTGCTGGCGGCGGCAGGCGTGCATGGAAGGCGCTGCGCCGGCCGAGCACTGGTGGTTCGCCGTTGGAGCCTGCAGGTGGCAGAAGGAGGGGGGGCAGGCAGGCTGCAAGGTGAGTGGCAACTTGGCAAGGTGCACACTGCCATTGGAGGAAACATGCTTCTGGCCAATTCAGGCTGAGGACGACAGGAACCCCACACACGAGGCCCTCATACCTGGTGGGGGTGGAAGGGGCGGTTGGGGCGGCAGCTGCGCTGGGCCATCAGGGGCGTGTCGGCGGCGGTGGCGGCGGTGGCGGCGGTTGGGCCGGTAGCTGGGACGGCCGCTGGTACTGGGCAGCAGGCAGGGACACGGCGGGTGATGGCGACTGCCACAGGCTCGGGGCGGTGGTAGGCGGGGGCAGGCTCCACCAGCACCACACGCAGGCGCTGGGGCGGCGGCTGGCGCTGGGGCGGCTGGCGGTAGGGGAAGAAGAGGGAGAGGATGCCTCCCTCCAGGCGTGCCCTCGCGCGCTGCCCCTCCAGGTGGCTGGCCAGCTCCAGAGCGCGGCGGTAGGCCACGGGTCGGTAGGCATCTGCAGGGCAGCGTGGGGCAGGGCGGGAGGTAGGTGGTAGCGTGGGCCATGGTGCCAAGGGTTGGGTGCGAGAGGAGTGTGGGATGCCAAGCGATTGGCGTGGAGCAGGATCACCAGAGGCTGGCAGCACGACCCTGGCACCTGCACGGCGCTTACCAGGCCAGTGGGCGGTGCCGGGCTGGAAGGCGGTGATGTTGAACTCGCTTCCGTTCAGTCGCAGCCTGCAGCATCGGTTTGGCAGGCGTCATGGGAAGGCAGCCCGGGCATGCAGGGTGCGTGCCAGGCAGGCATCGCAGGCAAGGGCGGGACCCGGAACCCGCCGCCACCTGGTGGATGGCCTCACCTGATGTCTGCCGGGGAGAAGGCGCATCCCAGCGGGGTTGTTACCAGCACGCCCTCATCAGACCGAGTGATGGACACCTCGGGCTCTGCCGGGGGCGCATAGGAGGGCTGCCGGAAGGACCCGGCACCGGCGGGCGGGCGGAAGGGCCCAGCGGCCGCCGAGCGGTGCGCCAGGCCGTAGTGCGACGCGCTGGCTGGCATCCCACAGGCCATACCGCGGCATGTGGGCCCCCTGTGGGCAAAGAGCGAGTCCAGCAAAGAATCGAGCTGGCTGACCGCTCCGGGGTTCGATTCCCCCAGGCACATGGGCACGTCCAGCTGCAGAGGGAGGAGCACAGCCATGGATGCGGCACAGATCGGTCTCCGAGAGAGAGAGATAATGGGCAAAGTAGAGATGGGAGCTGCTTTTATGCAGGCATGCCCCCCCCCTTCGAGAAGTGTCCGGCAACCTCCCGGCAGCACGCTCTAGAAGGCAGATGATGGAATCCCGCTTCCAGAGAGGCAGTTCATGTGCAGTTACAACCCTTGGTCTTGTGAGATCGGCAGACTGAGAGAGGCCGCTGCGGCGCCCTGGCGTTCACCGCCACCTGACAAGCAGGCGCCCGGCCGCATCCCCACAAACCACGCAAGTGTCGCCCAGCCCCACCGCCACCGCGGTAACCGCCATGTGCGACCAGCGGGAGGCTGCTGCCGCGTTGCCCAGCTTGCGGTTGAGGGGCAGGTGTGCCTGGCGCTGCTGCTCCCGCAGATCCCAGCATGCCAGCGTGCCACTGGGCGAGCCGTGCAGCATGAAGCGGCCGTCGCAGCTCACTGCAGGCCTGCACAACAGCCACGGCCCCTTGCGGCAGTCGCCGGCGGCGGGGAGCATGGTGCAGCACACGGCGCTGCCGCTACTGCTGCAGCTGCTGCTGGCCAATGGCCACAGCTTGGCCTCGCCGTCGGCAGCCAGAGTCGTCACGTGCAGCGCCGTCGGCAGCGGGAGGAGCATGTGAGGGGGCATGGTGTGCCCGCCCTGCCGGTGCACAAAGCTGCCAGTGCTGGCATCCCACTCGGCATCGCCACTGCTGCTGGGCTGCCGGTAGCGCACCATCACAGCCGCCGCAGGCACACAGTCGTCCTCAAGTGGGGCAGCTGAAGGGCTCAGGGGGCACTGTGGCGCCCCCCAGCCAGCCCAGCTGGCCCATGTAAGTGCTGGCGGTTGCAGGGCCAGCCGGGAGTGGCCCCCAGGTAGCCCGCCGCTTCCGCGCCCAACATTGGCACTGCTGTCGTCTGCTGACGCGCCTGGCGCACCTCCCGCTGCCGCTTCTGCTGCTGCCCACACTTCCGTCTCGCCCTCCTCCGCCTCCAGCTGCCGCCGCCGCCGCCGCCTGCCAGAGCTGCGCATCGATCCCGGCCGTCGGCAGGCGGCGCTGCCGTGCCCTACAAGCTGGCTGGCTGTAGCCTGGCTGACTGCCACTACAGGACCGCGCTCTTGCGGGCCCGGTGTGCTGGCTGCTGGGAGGGCTGCGCCTGAGCTGGGCGCCACCGGCGCTGTGCTGGCCGGCGGCAGCCACATAGCCGCTGCAGGGTGCAGTGCTGCTGCTGGCGCCTGCAGCTCCTGCCCGCCGCCCCTTCTATCGCTGCTGCCGTGGTGTGCTGGCGCCTGGGCCGCCGCCACTGCCTCACAGAACTGCCGGCAGGCTGGCACTGCCCACAGGTCGAGGAGGAGCGGCCCGGCCGGGTCGTCGGCAGCCACCAGCAGCGCCGCATCATCCCCCGGCTGGAAGGCCACACAGGTGGCGCGGAGCCGCAGCACCGCCAGCGCCTCACCCCTGCCCACGCTCCACAGCCTGATGGTGGCATCCTGAGCGGAGCAGCTGGCCAGGAAGCCGCCGCAACTGGAGAAGCAGCAGGCGGCGACGCTGTGGTTGTGCGCGAAGCTGGCGCGCTGCGCTGCCGCGTGGTGTCCCGCCGTGCAGTGCAGCAGCTCGTGCATGTCCCAGACTCGGATGCACCCCTCTGCATCCGCGGTGGCCAGCATGCAGCTGGTGGGATGCAGCACTAGGGTGGTGATGGGAGCTGAGTGCAGGCGGTGGCTGCCCACCTGCGCCCAGCAGCGGAGCAGGCGGCCGCAGGGGGTGGTGGCGTTTGTGTGCTGGCCTTCCGTTTGTGTGCAGGCTTTCCACGCAAGCTCAGGCGCTTGCATGCAACACTGCGCTGCATCAAAGCATCCACGGAGGCGGCAGGGCACCACTTGCCGGTAGCAGCGCCGCCGGTGGCACCAACCGTAGCGCCCACAGCTTCACGCGGCCGTCGTCATCGGCGCTGCAGGTAGCAACAGAATGGTGCTCAGTAAGCAGGGGTGGCCACATGTCCTACCAACCATTCACGGTGGTGGGCTCACCTGATGACGTGGCAGCGGCAGCAACCGCTAGGGAGCGCCAGCCCAGTAACGGCGGCGGCGTGGGCTGGCTTGCAGATCTGCTGCACATCGTGCTCCCCATCGTCAGCCACAATGCTGAGCAAGGGGAGGACAGCTCCCTGTGCTCCTCCCCACTGCAACTCACGAGCGGCCTGGAGCGTCAAACTGCCTGCCATTGCTGCAAGCAACGAATCTTCTCACTCTGATCTGAAATGCGGGTTCGGATGGGCTTCTGCTGTTCAATTGCGGTTCAATTGACTACCTGCTGCCCGTGCTGCGCTTTGTTGTCGCTGCCCTGCAGCAATCAATTGGCTGCGATCGCCGTCATCCAGGCATCTGTGTCAACCTCCCTGAGTGCATCCACGAGGCCACTGGCCCCCACGCCGTAGACGCGTTTGGTGGCTAGCCTTTGGTGCTCAGCAGCAGCAATCGGGGCTGCAACCCTGTGGCAACCGCTCCCAGTGCCGGCCCCAGCACACAGCACGCGCCCCGCTTGTGCTACCACCCCGGCGACGGCGGGTGCAACCGCCTGTAGCGGCGACCGAGGGCAGGGCGCCTGGCACCTATGTTCATCTCTCGGGACAGGCCAGAGCTCTAGACATTGTGGTGGCAGGAGGTTCCACGGGCAATGTCTCCCAAGAAGGCTGCGTTCCTGACGCTGCTGCTGTTCCTCGGCCTCTTCACCTTCCAGCTGCTGTGGACGCACGGCCAGCTGGAGCGGCTGCGCAGCCTGGGCCGCCGTGGCCTGCGGCGGCACGCCCAGCAGCAGCACGCGGCAGCGCACACAGTCGCCATGGGCGCCGAGCTGGACGGCCTGGGCCTGGCCGGCGACGACGGCGGCGCCAGCGGGGCGGCAGACGAGGCGGTTGTGTACGGCGACGGCCAGTCCATGCCCAACCCCGCCCTCATCGTCTTTGCCTTCAACCGAGCCCACTACCTCAACCAGACGCTGCGCTCCCTGCTGCGCCTGCGTGGCCTGCAGCGCTACTCGGTCTACGTGTCGCAGGCAGGGCAAGCCGACGGGCGGGCGGGCGGGCAGGGCGGGCGGGCGGGCAGGCCCGTCAGCTGGCCTGCAGTTGCTTGGGCAGCTGGGGCGCTCTCCGCCCAGCCAGCCTCCCAGCCAAAGGAGTGTGATTGCCGCTGCGCTGCAGGACGGCAACGATACGAGCGTGGCAGATGTGGTTGCGTCGCTGGCGCCGCACTTCCTGCGCCGCGCCCGCGGCTTTGCGCTGTGGCAGAAGACGCCACGGGTGGCAGCGCTGGGGCCCAACCAGCCGGGGCATGCCTGGCTGGCGCAGCATTACAAGTGGGGCCTGGACCGGCTGTTTGCGGAGAAGCACAGCCACGCGGTGATTGTGGAGGACGACATGCTGTTCAGCCCAGGTGGGCGGACACGATCAGGTGGCAGCGGCCGGCGGGCGGCCTGCATACCCACAACCTGCTCTGCTGCTGTCGCCCCCCGTCGCCCTCCCTTCCTGCGCCCTGCTCTTCCAAACGCATGCCCGCCGGCGCGCATGCGCGTTGCCCCACACCGCCCCCGCCCTCCCCCCGCAGACTTCCTGCTGTACTTTGAGGCCACCGCGCCGCTGCTGGATGCCGACCCCACGCTGTGGTGCGTCTCCTCCTGGAACGACAACGGCTTTGTGACGGGGCACGCCTGGAACGCCAGCCGCCTCTTCCGCAGCTCTTACTTTCCTGGTGGGTGGAGGTGTGGGCGTGGGCGGGCAGGGGCAGGCCACCGCTCGTCGAGGGCGCTGTGCGGGTTCCTGAAGCAGGCAGCGTGTGGCTTGCCGCGTGCATGTGTGGGCTGCGCTGCCGCCGTGCACCCGGCCCGAGCGTGCACCCGGTGTGCGCAGGGCTGGGGTGGATGATGAAGCGGGAGCTGTGGGAGGAGCTGGGCCCCAAGTGGCCGCTGGATCACTGGGTGAGTAGCGGGCAGGCGGGGGGCGGCTCAGCAGGAGCCGTGGCCTGCAGGCTCGGGTGCACCACCCCACCCACCCACCCGCACCCACACCCGCACACCACATGCACACACCACATGCACCCCAACCGCCCGTCCACACACTGCAGGACCACTGGATGCGGGACGACGAGGTGGCCAGGGGCCGGGACTGCATCTGCCCAGAGGTCAACCGCAACAAAAACATCGGGGAGGTGCGACGCCTTTGGCTGGGCTGGTCAGGCGGGGCCAGGCGGGGATTCGCAGAAGCAAGAGAGAGAACGCGCCGTGCGGGCCCCGGCCTGGCGCGGTGGGGCAGGCCCCAGCAGCTCCCCTCCTCCCCGGCGCCGCAGGTGGGCGCCAACATGAACAAGCAGGCATTCAAGCGGTACCTCAAGACCATGGGCTGGAACGAAAACCAGACGGTGAGGGCGGGCGTGTGCATGCCCATGCACCCACACCACCGGCTGATGTGTCGCGCCGACATTCGGCACATGCCCACGCCTTGACATGCCACGCAAGCTGCATCCGCCCCCTGCCCCCTGCCCCTCCCCTCCCCTCCACGCCCCAGGTCACCGACTGGGGCGACCTGGACCGCCTCACCCACCGCAACTACGCCGCCGACATGCGCCACGCGCTGGCCACGGCGCAGCCCTGGGACGCGCTGGGGGGGCGCCGCGCGGGCACCAAGCCGCAGGCGGGGGCCACCTACTACGTGTACTACACCATTGAGCAGTACACCAGGCTGGCGCTGCGCATGAAGCTGTGGCCCTACCCGCGCGCCCACTTCCGCCACATCGCCAGCATACCCTGGATGTGAGCGAGCCGCGGGAAGGGTGCCGCTGCGTGCCGGCAAGCTGCCTGCGGCAACCTTGGACCTGGCCCATGCTACAACGCTGGGCAGGCTGCTCGGCTGGCCCCTCGCTCCCCGCTGCCGCATTGCAACGGCTGGCTGGCAAGCTGCTCTTCCTCCTCCTGAGAGCACCTCAGGGTGCCTGCTCCTGCGTGCCTGCCCCTCACTGCTTCTGCCTTCCTCTTTCCCTCTCCCTCCCTGCGTCGCAGGGGTGCGAGCTTCCTGCTAGCCGACCGCCGCTTCTGCCCGCTCATACCCGAGGCGCAGCAGCTGACCCCGACCCCGGGGTTGCTGGTGGTGTCGGGCAAGCAGCACCAGAGCTGCACCGACGCGTGCGCCGAGCAGGGCCTGCTGTGCAGCCGGACCGACTTCTGGTGGCTCAACTCCTGCTCAGGTGGGTGGCTGGGCTGGGGCTGGGCTGGGCTGGGCTGGGCTTTGGGGCGGGCCGTCGGCCGCCCTCGGTTATGCCATGGGCTGTCAGCGGGGAGCAGCAGGATCGCCGCACCCCGCCCCAACCCGCCCCTCACCTGCCCCTGCAGTGCTGCGCAAGCACTTCCCTTGCGAGCATGGGTGCACCGTGGAGCTGGGGCCTGATGTGCCCGCCTATGTGGCGGCTGCCGGGCAGACGCTACACAAGTACTGCCTCATCACCCAGGCACGTCTGGCTGGGGTCCGGTTGGGGGCACCCGCCTGGCGGCGCCCGCCTGGCAAGCCGCCCGCGCATGCCCCTGCAGGGCGGCATCTGGCCCTTCCTGCGCTGCAGCCCTGGCTTCTGAGCCCGCCACTCACGCGCTGCGCCTGCCTCGGTCTGCAGAAGGCATCCACATGTGTGGCCAAGCATGCCGCCACTGCACGGCTGTGCCCGTGCCTGCCAATTGAAGGGGAGGAGGTACAGCGGCGCCTGCTGGCATTGCCAGATGGCAGCGGGCGGCGTAGCGCTAGATCTGTGCTCGCACAGCCGGTTGGGCAGCAGCGGCAGCTAGGGAGCCGTGTGGGCAGAAGAGGCAGTGGGAGCAGCACCACAACAGCATTGTAATCCACTCGCGCCGGCCAAATTTGTCATGTGCTATTGCCTGCACATTCCTCCATCGATTGCCTGCCTATCGCACAGCAACCAACCTGTTACACAACCCCATGGAGGCCGGCAGCAATGGCGGGGCATACCAAATCCGGCAGCAACGTACGGGAGGACAAGGTGGAGGAGGAGGGAACAACGGGGCATGCGTTGGTGTGATGAACCAAGCGGATGCAAGTACAGGGCATTACACAGGAGGCAACTGAGGAGGCAAGCGTCGGGGCTGGGTCGTCGCTGTGCCGCAGAAGGTTGGCGGCCAGCTCACGACAGCCAGTCCTTTGCGGTGTCGTTGCTGACTACCCGCCCCTGCGCCCGCTCCTCCTGCACCTGCTTCACGCTCTTCAGTGCCGCCCGACCCGCTGCGGTGCCCGCCCATGCCTGCTGCCGTGCCTCAGCCTGCACAGGGGAAGGAGTGAATGCAGGGATCGGCGAGGCCATGCTTCGGGCATGCTGCAACAGTCTAGCGCGGGCAAGCACGCGCACCGCTGCCGCCGCTTGCGCCCGCGCCGCCCGGTCCGCCTCGGTGTCAGGCAGCCTGCTGCGCTGGGCTTGGGAGTATATTTGTGCATCTGGCCCGGTGCTCTGCTTGCCGCAGCAGGCCCCCATGTCTCGCTTCTCTTCTGTCGGTCGATCGGTGGAAGAGAGGGTTTTGCCAGGCGACTAGTTGCACTTGCCAGGTCAAAGCCGGAGATGCACTGCTGCTAGGCTACAGCAACGCGGAAGAGGCGCGTCTGCACATTTCTGCCAGCTCGGAGTCCCGCTTTTTCTCCACCGGCCAGCTCGCTTGCATTAAACTCGTTGCATCCCTCATTCGCTCCAACCGCTCCGTGCGTATCTGTGGTGGCATGCCATTGGCGGTGCCAGCCCAACCTTGTGCACGAGCTGAGCGCTGCTGCTCCTTCCATGCGACAGAATACAGATTAGGGACCAGCGCCCTGGCGCCCCGTGTGTGGCGGTTCCTCTGATCAGTTGGATGCGCCATGGCGCCGAAACGGGCGCGGCTGGCGGCGGCGGAGGCCGACAGGGCGGTGGCCGAGTTGGAGGGCCAGGGGCAGGCTGGTGAGTGCCCTCGCTTGTTGCCTCGCCCCTCAATGTGCTGGCTCGCTCCCTCAATCACTGGTCCTTGCTACCGCAGAGACGCTGGCGTTGGCCAGCGGCCAGAATATCCTGCACTTCCTCAGCCGCGCCGCCAAACGCCGCAACAAGTACTCACGAGGCAGCCACGATGTCCCTTCCGCCGTGCTCCTGCCGGCCGGCCTGGTGCCCGGCCTGCCGGGAGCGCGGCGGCCGCAGCCACCAGGCGCCTGTGGCGCCGCGGCAGTGGAAGGGCTGGATGCCCCGGCACCACGTGCGGTGGATGGCTCGCCGCCAGCAGCTTGCAGAGGCAGCGAGCCGTGGGAGGACGAGCCGGGAGGCCAGCAGAAGCAGCAGCAGCAGCAGCGGCAGGAGCAGGAGGAGGCGGAGCAGCAGGGGCAGCCCAGTGATGAGGAGGAGTGGGAGGATGCATGGGCCGATGAGGAGGAGGGCGAGGAGGGTTCAGAGGGGACGGCGGCAGCAACAGGCCGCCGCGCCAGCACAGAGCCTGCGGGCGGCGAGGGGGGCGGTGCCCTCACCATCACGCTGCACCGAGACGGCAGCGAGGAGGGGGCGGTCAGGCCATCCCGCAAGCCGTCGCAGGGCGGCGCCGGCGGGCCCCAGCGGCGCGGCGTGACCAAGGTTGAGCGCATGCGCGCGCAGCTGGTGCACCGCGCCCACCTGCTGTGCCTGCTGGCGCGGGGCCTGCTGCTGGATGCCGCCGCCAGCGACCAGCTGCTGCAGGCGCAGCTGCTGTCGCTGGTGGAGCCGGGGCCGGCGGCAAAGCTGCACGAGGGGTGGGGCGGCCTTGGCGGCGGCGGCAGCGTCAGCCTGCGCGGCGTGTGCCAGCAGGTGGCCTGGGTGCGCAAGACCTTCAGGCTGCTGCCGCCTGCGGGTGGCGCGGGCGGGGAGGACCCAGTGGCGGCGGCGGCGCAGCGCGCCCGAGGGCTGCCCGCCGTCCTGGAGGCTCTGCAGGAGGCGGTGGCGCAGCGGCGGTGCACGGGGGAGCAGCTGGTGGCGCTGTTTGCGGCGGTGCTGCGGGCGCAGGGCGTGCGGGTGCGCCTCGTGCACGCCCTGCACCCCTCCTCGCTGAAGCCCACAGGCAGGACAGGCCGCAAGCCTGCTGCTGCTGCTGCTGCTGCTGCTGCTGCTGCTGCTCTGGTGGTGGTGGTGTTGATACTTGATGAAAAAGGCACTCGCCAGCACATCCGGCAACGCCTGCTTGCCTCCTGCTTGTGTGCATGGTCCCCACACCTGCCTGCCTCTCTTCCCATGCAGATGCGGCCCGGCAGCAGGAACGAGCTATGGCGGCCTTCTCCAGGCAGTTTGGCGCCGCCGCTGCCCCCTACCTGAGCCCAGCTGCAGCATTTGCAGCCCCGGCAGCAGGCGAGGCAGGAGACGAGGCAGGCAGCGGCGGTGCCCCCTGCCCCCCCGCCCCCCTCTCCGCTG